AAGAAAATCACACGTATAGTAATAGTAGATTAGAGGAAGACACAAGTCAGTGTCACGTATCTGGTGAAGTGGCGATGCTTTCTCATACGGGGGTTACACTGGTGTTGTACCTGTCTTAGTAATATAAATATGTAGCCTATTTCAGCCGTTTAGCTGACACGGATTACTATCCTTTTCTATATCGGTATGACGATTTTACAATCAATCCCCTCCCCACTTCATGTCTTGTAATTTATAATTATAGAATAATTTTTCAATAAATCACTTAAATAGAATTGCGTATTTTGGAGGCTCCTGAACCAGGTCCTGCCAGTCCGGGCGGATGTTTTGAGAAATTAGTAATCTTGCAAATTACCAATCTCGGTTTTGGATCGTGATACAATAGTAAAGGACATCTTCATGGCTTTTCAGAGAATTTAGATATAACATTGTAGATCTTCCCTATTTTTCTTTCTAATTATAATTTACTAAAGAAAGAAAAGGACTGATCAAGTGTCTGTACATGTCATAATCAAATAGCCGCGGAACTTTATGCAATTGCATATGTTTACTGATTGCGCATATCCAAAGGAAATGTGTATACCTATCTCCAAAAATAAATCAAAAGTAGCCCATTTTTATTTTTCGTAATTGAATATTTCTGTGATTTTTTTCGTAACTGCATATTTTTATTTGTACGGCACATTTAAGTGCTTCCTTCCCAGGTTTTTGTGTAGAAGTGAGTCAAAGACAGATATTTTCGTGTATTTCTCTTTCAAAAGTAAAGTGAATTAAGCTATTCCAATGCTAGAATATCAACATAATATTTTCGACAGTCTTCTGATAAGATTGTTCTCGCTAGAATCAATTTACTTCCTGAAACTTTATTCGTATGCATGAACTTAGATAAGTGGGCTGAATATTACGGCATCTTGTAACAATGCTATTGGTTCTCTCTCTTAATTTTTTGTGTTGTTTATTATCTTTGAAAATATATTTTCAGTATATGCGTTTTGAATTACAGTGTAAGACATGAAGATTATATAAATAAATGTTATCTCTTGCTAACAATATTTTGTAAATACAAATTCTTAATTTTAAGTGCATATACGGCCTATTTTCAGTGTATTTATTGTCAATTTTAAGTGTATTGATGCTTGCACATTTTAAACTTTTTTAGTGCACGAAGTTCCGAGTTTTAGTTATAAGACAGTAGAAGAGTTTTGTAATCGTAGTAAGACAGAGAAATCAATGCCTAACAGTATTGCGCTTATGTATTCCAATTTCAGAGTGAAATACTCATGTGCATTTATATCCACATTCATAAAGGGTCCTAAATCCATATCCTGTTGTTCGATATATGTTTCACAAATATAATACAATAACAGATCAAGTGGTCCTGTCGAAAGACATTTCATTTGCTGGGCTACGTATAATCAATAGTCCACGGCGAACAAACATTGGTGATACAATGTTTGAAAGACTAGTAGTGTTAAAGGAAAACGACCAATTGTGTAAAATTGTAACCATATTGTGTCCATATACTTTATACACAATACTTTTTGTTATTTTTTTACTTTCCCGTATACTAACGTATATACGGAGAAATGTACGTAGTATGGGGAAAGTTATGTAATGCTACGGAAAATCGATTTTGCGATTTCAATTGCTTATATCTATTGTTGGAACTGTTGGAAACGAATTCTCGTTTCGTTTTCGACTCCCTTTTCTCTTCATTTCAATTGTTTATAACTATTTTTTACAAGCAAACGTGTTAACGAAATATAAAATGTTATGAATCAATTAAGGGGATTTCTGAAGCCCGGTTTATTTACAAAATGAATTAAGGTGCACAGCCCAAACAAAATATTTGTTTTTTTTTCACCAAACAAAGTATATCAGGCAATTGATATAATTTAGACGAATCGCCTGATATACTTTGTTCGATGAAAAACATTGTTGTTTCGACTATGCACCTGAATTCGTTTTTGTAAACAAACCGGTGTTTAGGAATCCCCTTAATAATGTAGATAATTGATTGATCCTAAACAAATCTGAAGATGCGTGCGGTAGTACTAGGTGGAGAGTCGCCGAGCGCGCCAAAACAAATGTCAAATAAATTGCCGAAACTTTTAGACTTATGAATATTTTGTTATGAAATTTTGTAATGCACCTAAAGGAACAACTTTCTTGCTGAACTATTTTTGAAATCGAAAATTATCTCGATACTGTTTCGCTTTGAATCTCCTAACATCAACGAGCACGACCCAATTAAATATTTATTATTAATTAACAACAATAGTGTTTAGTGATAATAGTAAACCTATCATCATCTATAACTCAAATAGTTCTTGAAAACGAAATTTCAAGTAAATTCAATCATTATTACGTATGAAATATTCAATTAAATATAAAATATGTTTCATTTCATTATGTGAAAATGTGCAGTTATTAAATTTTATTCTAATATAAATACATCTAACAAAAATACGTTAAATAGAGTTCTGCATATTTCAGTGTAATTAAAATCCAAATTGGAGTAACTTTTATTTTTTACTAAAATCCCACAATGAGTTCAACCAACACCACCTAGATACTAGGTTGAACCAACACCACCTAGATATCTAGGTGGTGTTGGTTCAACTGCATTTCGACCGTTCGTGCGTATGTGTCGTTTTTGAATGCGGACACTCAATTATATTTTTTCTTATTAATAAAAAATTCAACTTACCATTTGAATCAAAATATGCATTATGTTTCTTAAAAAACGTAGTGGTGCTCAGCTGATTCGTTTTACTATCTGCACTTTCATAATTTCTATTTAACGTAAATTATTTCTGGGACATACGATGTAAGGTAATTAATATTTACACTGCAACACACAATTTATAATTTCAGTAAGTCGTTTTAATGCGTTAACAGAAAAAAGAAAATTTCGTTCTTGTCAATGATGAAATCAACTTACCTAATTGGATAAAAGTCTGCACTGGGACAAATTCTGCACTAACAAAAAAAAAATGCGCTCAAGCCGAACAAACCTCTTTAGCAATAACTCTTACGGATCTGTATATGACAAAGACGCTACTCTCAGACATCTGCGGAAAACCGAAAAACTTGCACCCTGAGAAGGGATAAAAAACGGAAGAAGAGTGCAAATTGCAATACACAAAATTTGCCCCGCGAAAATATGACGTCAAAAGGTAAAGGAAATCCCGCCCGCGTTGGGCCATTTTTCTGAACCTTTCGGCCCGCTTTCATCCGCAGCTGCGGCGGCCCGTTGTGCCCGACGTTTTTATACCACATGTTTTTCAAACACTCACGAAACGAGCATTTTCTTTATAAGGCACGCTTAAATCGATACGCCTACATTTTTTATGAGGCGTCATATATTCAGCAAAGAATTGTTTGTATTGCAACAAAGTTTTCGTTCCAGCTGACACATTTAGCATGAAGAAATTAACATTTTTATATCGCGCTTTTTTTAAATTAAACTTATTATTCTTTCTTAACTGTAGGAAATCGGACGGCGTATCGTCTATTTGAGTTGTGTCTTTCTGAGAACGTTCTAATTTTCGAACGACGAAAAATCAAAAGAAAAGTTGGATACTTGACGTGAGGTTTTATTGCCACATGTATGATGCATTTATTTTGATTTTAGGGGAGTCGGCGACCCTCCGATTCTACGATTGGACCCCCTGACCCATACTTCCGACGTCCCTGACGATTTGAAACGGAAGAACAGTTATTTTTGCGGGTGATACTAATATTCTTTGCAATAGAGAAATCGTAAAATAGTACAATAGTAGATATTTCAAAATTTGATCCGTAATAACAAATTTATAGTATAAAGTAGGTCTCACTGTCACAGTATGGCAGCTCCCAATTAGATGTGTTTCCCTTTCTAGGTAGTGACCTTGAGGAGACCTACATTTAAATCGGACAATAAAAGCTGTTCTTCTTCTGCCCGCTGTGAAATGGACAATTACCACCATATCTTTTCATACTATATTTAATATACTATATTTGCACGAGAGGAAGAAATGCTGAGAATTCCTCCTCAAAACTATTTCGGGTTTTCGCGTCGCTTAAAAAAGTGAGCGCAGTTTATACTCGATGAAAGTCAATTACCCGACATTATGATCTACAAATTTATGTACTTTACCTCGCATATCAAAACAAAAATAGCGTAAGTCTAGCGCCTTAACAGCAAAATGGATATTCCCCTATAGATATGGGTGATGTCGCGGCCCCTAGAATTTGATGCGGTTTGTTTAATTTTGGGAATATTACATGAAGTCCTAGAACATTTTCGAAAGCTTCTCAAAAATGACTGCAAATATTTTTTTAAAAGTCTTGTAGTCGAATATAGAGAATTACGCCTGTCCCAAGTATAATGCTAAGTAAAACCTCTGAAATTTCAAAAATGAAAAAAGAAAAAAAAGTTCTCTCCTTCAACTACATTATTAAAAAAGCGATATATTTCCTTAATAATATTAAATCCAAAAAAAAATCTGAACATGTTTTTGAAGATGTGAGTAGCTTATGTGAAATTTTGAGTGAAGTCATGAATATTAAAAAACAGAAGCTTCATGCATGAGGTCAAAAACAGCTACAATTTTTTAGCTCAAATATAACATACAATTTACTTAATAATATGTATTTATTGCATTTTCATCAACTACTAAATGTCAACTTTCTTTTTAATGAGCTGTGTGTATTGTTTGCATGAAACCACCTTGTTGGTATAGTGCAGAGATTCCCAAACCTTTTCTATCATTGACATTTTTTCAAAATAATTATTTTCTTCTGAACCACCATCCCCCTTACATTTTTCTGCATACATAATTATCAGGAAATGGATTTTTATGTAAACTCATATTTACTAAATAAGCTAATATCAATTCTAGTTTGTATTATCTTTGTTTCACAATGTGTACTAGTTGCAAAATTATTTTATTTTCCACATTTTAGTACATATTTTAATGAAAGTCCATATATTTTCCATATTTCTTATAAAATCAGTCCATATAGCATATTATACTTAACAGTGAAATTTCATTAAATATTAATCTCAACAAACATAACTTAATTATTTTCTTTTAATTCTTAAACATACAAGTTTGTTTGTTATTGTTTTATTATTACAGAGAATTGACAATGGGAAAGTGAGTTAAGAAAATGTTAAGGTATGTGAAGAATAGATCCACTCTCTGGCCACAAGGTCCTGTCTGAGGGACCTGAGTGTCCCACAACAAGATGGGCACAAGGAGGCTATAAGTATTAGATTTGTTTGGCAAATGATCTTGAGACTTCAATGGTCTGTGGGAAACGAACCTTGTTTTAGTATCCACACTACACCTGCTCCTTCTCTCTGAGGCTGCCATCTGGAACTCACATGATGCCACAGGCATGCAGAGGCTTGGACATCAGAATTCACCTTATACAGCTCCTCATTGTCAGTTACATTCCTGTCCGAATATCACATGTTGGTTCAGTTCTAATAATCTTTGAGTTAAGTCAGAGTAAAATGTCTAAATTAGCACAATCAGCTAGCATAAAATTAGATATTAGATTCAGAATTTAAAGCTGATAGTTTATCGACTGACAATAAAATATTATTTTGTCATTTTTTTTATCATATTAAGTCCATGTTTAACTCCATACTTTGATAAAAATAACTACATATATATTTACATTTATCATTATTGTTAGTCTGTATAAATCTGTTTCCTGATAATCATTAAAAACACAAATTTGCACATGAATGAATGCCTTAATTTTACATGGTGAGACTCAGGCCCGACCAAAAGATAATTCCACATACTAATATTTTCATTAATAACTTGATTTACATTTGTCAGAGAAGCTTCCAATTCAGAGTGAGCAGCTGAGTTTCTAATCTTCATTGTTGAGTAATAAACAAAATATTCTTGTTTAGGATTTTTTTTAAGAACTAGCTATAACATTTTTGCTGTGTGCATTGCAGAGAATATTTTCTTCCACAATAGAGTAACGTAAATAAAGTAATGTCAAAACCTTACGACAATCCTTGATCACATTAGTAAAATTATGTTGCAATATTGTAGTTCTTTTTTACAAAAGCATTTATACAACTCTAATGAAATTAATTTTAATTGGTAGTTTCACTAGAATTAAACTGTTTTTCGGCATCATTCAAATTTTATTTCTTTTATTATTTTTTTTTAATTACTCATACATTGCTCCCTTTCATTGTAATTACTTATCATGCTATTCCTTCTAGTACAAAAGACAACTTGTACAATGAAGATTAGAAACAGACAATGTTCGCAACTGTAAAAACAAATTTACAAAATAAATTCAGATAAGCTGCTTATTTTGGTAGTGTGTTTCTTCAAAGTTACAGCCATTTTTTGTACAAAGTTATATTTTTAAAGATTTATGAAAATGGAAGATGAAAGGAAAGGGTCTCTAATAAATGTAAATATATTTTTCAGATGTCAATTTAATTACCATCTTGTTTGAAGACCACATTCTGTACAAATAATAACTTAAAAAAATATGAATTACCTACACATTTGACCTCATAACCTCAAAGCAAAATTTATTTTCTTAACAAAAGATATATCACTTTATGTACAAAATGCTATTAGGGTAACTGATCAAATGACCTTTTCATCCCTGCTGGACATAGTACTCAAAAAAATAAATTAATGTACAGTAAGATTCATTTATCATATATCAAGGTCACACAGTTCACAGCAAGACACATTTAAAATGGATTATTTTTAAGAAACTGAAATGAAGATTATTTTTGAGAAATGTATGAAAAAAAACACAATTTCGAGCTGAATAAAATATAAACCGCAAAATTAACACTTTCTTTAAGAGGAATTAACTTTTGAAATTTTTTCACATTATAATGACAGTAGTTTTTTAAAGGAGATATGTCTCACTGCCAACTGTTGCCTCAAAAGCAATTAAAACATGTCATCATGACTCAAGTCTGGAATGTAATGAAGTCCTCTTTCTTTTAGTGCCTTTGCAAGCAGTCTTTCTTGTTCTTGTTTAGCTTCTTGTTCTCTTCGTTGAGCATCTAAAATATCATCAACAGAAACCTTTTTTAAAGGCAAATCGTTTTCTTTATCTTTGTCCTGAAAAGAAAGCAAGACACAAATGGAATTTAGAATTGAATAGCAAATTCATTTTTATGACACATATATAGTTTAATATTTGACTTTACAATTTCACCCAAGAGAACCACATTTTCTCCACGCACAATGAAAACTCCTCTAGGGATGTCTCCATATTCTTTACCAACGTGAATTCTCTCGATCGTATTATGTAGTACCAAATTGGCAAATTGATCTACGGTTCGGAGGTACCCAATGAGTGTTCGTCCATCTCGAAGAAGTACCATCAACTTTTCTGGGAATTTAAATTAAAGTGAATCATTACGTTACGAGAAAATTAATTTAAAAAATCATTCTCCTCAACAATATTCGCACTTACTATCCAATTCTTCCAGAAGAGTTGCTGTTCCTGGATATGCACTCATTTTCACTAAAGCCCATCAAAATATCATGAGCACTAAAAATAAATAAAATAATTAAAACAGCTTAGTACTCAAGAGAAGTTTTGCCAATGCCAGGTCCCTCGAGAAAAACATATCATAACCTGAACCAGGGCCCTATAACTCCCATATAACGTGGTGGAGACCATTACGGTGGCGCGCTCTGCTGCATCACCTTCTTTACATGAACTAAAACACGAACTGTTGCCAACGATACTTTAAACGTGCGTGGCTACTGCGTGAGTTCGCGGGTCGCAAGCAGGCCCATAATGTTGCAAAAGATAACGTATATGTTCGCGCATTCTTCAGTGGTTTCTTATAAGTATATATTTTGAATAATAGTACATTTATAAGACACTTTTCGTATTTCTCACAAATTAGCAAATTTGTATGTGGGAAAGTTGGCGAGCCTAACCTGCAGCTGCACCCGGCGACACTAGCGCTTCCTATAGTAGCAACCTTGAGCTTTGTCCCCAGTTTTGGTGGAGAGTTGCCGGGCCCTGACCTGAACCTTCTTTACAATACGTCTTTCAATTTTTCGCCCCGAGATATTTCTACCTGTTTCTACCAACGTTACAGAGTCGCATTAAACAGTCTTGCCAATAGTTCATTCCCATTAAAGAAGAATTTGTATTAACTAGAATCTATATATACAGAATGTCCAAAATGACGTCACAACATTTGGCGGGAAAAAGTTGGGTGGCAACCTCTGCATTGCGCGTAGGTGGGTCCTAGGGAATTAAAAAGTTTTTGGCTGTATTATGCGGTTGCTGAGGTGCGTGTGTCTTATCACATTTGTTATTTACGATGATATTTGCTTTCTTTTGGTTTATTTAGGTTCTGACTGCGAATTTTGTCAACACATAGGATTTTTAAAAAAAACACTATTTCTTTTTGAAAACAGTTCTAAGTAAATATTATCATGACCTAACGTGCTTCTAAAATGAAATGTATGAGACATAATATTGTTCTACGTTTCCTTCCTTCAATCGTCGGTTACGAAATGTGACAACGAATTTCGAGCCCGTTTACTGGAAAGCGTAGAAGTGACTCCTTCCGTATATTTTTATAAACGCTTTTTACATTTTTTAAAAAAATTGTATTAATTATATCATAGAGAGAAGTTAACCTATTACCTACATTACAGTATTACTTTACCTGTTACCTATATTAAACTTAAATAATTATTTGAAAGAAAATAAATACATAAAGCTCATAAGCACAGTCCCAAAAATGTTCGTAATTTTTCACGGAGTGGAGGAACTTGCAACTTTTAAGTTAGCCAGAATTTAATATGATTTAACTATAACTTTTTCAATATATTAATTGTAATAAATATATGGTTATTTAAAAACATAAATAAATATTGCACTTTCTATGTTTGACAAAAGTGTATGCAAACACTATTTGCTGAATTGGGCATTTATGTCGTTATTCGAAACGACACTTATGTCGTGTTTTATCCATAAGCGCATGGCTTGTAGCAGTATCAAACATACTCCTTTTAGTCTAGTGCTTTGCGCTTCATATCTTCTTATGTAGCTCGGCTCCTTTGTCGTATATCCCGTATGTACGCATTTCATGTTCCTCTTGGCCTTCCAGGTGGTCTCTTTCCCTCTGCCTGGCTTCGATTTGTTTCGGCTTTCTATTCACCGCCATTCTATTAACATGGCCATACCACTTCAGAGCCTTGTTTTTCATTCCCTTGAGTAGCGGTGTAATTTTTAGTTCCTCTCTGATTGTATTATTTCTTATCCGATCTCTTCTTGTATTCTCTACTATCCTGCGTAGGAATTTCATTTCCACTGCTGTAATTCTTCTTTCTGTTAAGTTTTTTTTAAGTTCCATATATAAAAGTAGGTATATATACGGACTTGAGACTATAAATTTTGAGTTTTATTTTAGTGACTACATTAATTCTTAGTAAGTTCTTATTTATTTGATAATACACCGTGTTTGCTTTCTTCACTCTGTTATTCAGTTCCTCCTCATATTTTCGAACTTTCGAAAGTATTATTTCTACTCTTTTTCCACTCTCCACTCAATGTTAATTTCCTCCCTTTCTTTGCCTACACACACACCACCTGCAGTGCATACCACCACTCAATTACCATCTCTTGCAGATCTCTTGGGTTTTTGGCGAGCAATAAAAAAACGTCCGCAGTCACTAAGGCTTATGACACATGACATTATTTGAAGATATATTTTTGATAAACATATTTCATTATGAAAAACAAAAAAACTCTCACAATTGAAGTTGCAGGAAGACGCCGAAGACGAAGCGCAGTCAATTCGGAACGGGCTATTTTGGTTTAAAGAAAATAAAATTTGTTTATGTCTGACATAAAATTTCGCAAAATTACTCATGGTTTTGAACAATTGAACGTGTTCTTATTTGAAGATATGTTTTTGATGAACATATTTCATTAAGCAAAAGAATGTTTGCCTTTATAATTGTAGTTTTAGGAAGACGCCGGGAATATTTTGAATGTTTTCAATTTTTTCAATTTCAAACAATTGGATTTTAATTAGTACGAATAATACGTAAATCCCACCCAAGTGATTCTTGTAAGCCTCTCTTTATTCATCTAGGTATTTTACCATTACCTTGCCTCTTCATATATAAATTAAAGGTTTGTGTCAAAAATGACTTACTTAAGGGCGGGAATGTATTTTCAGCATACGCCGTTGTCTATAACTACAACACTCTACGTAGTAATAATATTCATCAGGTGACAGTATCAACAGCACACTACAAAAAATTCACATATAAAACATGTACCGACATATAATACATTATTTTACAACATCTTGCCAAATGACATTAAACGATTAAATTCGTTACAAAAGTTTAAGTCCCAAGTAAAATCTTTTCTGCTGCACAACTATTACTATACAATTAGAGACTATACCGAGCATTCGAAAGGAAGGAAATATTAATTTTAACAACGACATTTAGTGTATTATTTACCATTTGGATTGTATAATTCTAAATAACTTGTAACAAGTATTGTACTTCAGCTTCTGGGTCAATGACCCCCCATCTCGATCAGGTTTTCGTCCAGTAACCCTGATCCTGGACTGCTTCTGGACATAAATAAATAAATAAATAAATAAATAAATAAATAAATAAATAAATAAATAAATAAATAAATATATACAATAATACAAAATAAATTAACTATCGTTAGAAAATGTTTGTCACTACAGTTACTGGTAAATTAAACAATTTAAAAAATATTATGAAGTGCCTGTTTATGAATTGACAGTTAGTGTCGGCTGCCACAATTAATTTATAACAAATTTCTTTTTAAGTAATTTTACATCTCAACAATGTATCTTTAGATTTCTCTACTGATTCTATATGATTGCCATCAAATTTCTACAAACAAATCTCACAACAATTCTTTCTCGTTCTTAATGTTAATTTAATATCTAAACATAACTTGGCCTTGCTATATTTTCATTAATTCTGTCATTCTGTCTTTCTGTCATTTATTGCCTAAACTTCCCCTTTGAAGCATTTTCATCAATCTTGGCGAAACTGCCAATGACGTGAGCAACTTGGATTTAATAAAATTTGGAATTTTTTCCGAAAATATAGCAAAAAAATCTTTTTAAAACATTGTTGATATGCGATAAATGACGCTTGCGGAATAAAGTTGCGGTGCGACTAGAGCGCATTGAGGAAGAAAGATAACAATCAAACAAGTGAACCGGTGAGGACAGATAGAGCGTCTAAACGAGGAATTTCAGACAGAATGATCTCCGATTTGGTAGGGCGAGGATCTGTGGCCGTCAAGGCATTGTGTAGAAATGCCTTGTGATTTTGTGATAAGTCCAAGGAGATAACAAACGGGCATGTGGTTCAAGGGTAACGGGAGAATAGTAAAATAATTTAAATGAAAATTTTCGAAAAAAAGTTTGTAATATTCGTGGGATAAATAGATCGCAAATAAGAATAGAACTTTTATTAGTTGAAATTCAGTGTGGACATGAGAACAACTCCAGATGGAATTGGAACAATCGTTGACTTCATTAACAACGCTAAGATTGCTGAACATTCTGCAAAAGGGAAGTTTAGGCAATAAGTGACAGACATTAATAAAATATTATAAGAAGGTCAAGTCATTTATACATATTAAGTTAACATTTAGATTAAGAAAGAATTATTACGTGTGTTTTGTTGGTAGGAACCTGATGGTCATCAATAGAAATAATAGAGAAATAGAAAAATATATTGTTGAACAAAATTAAGAAGGCAGTCGAAATTAATAAATCGTGTCAGCCGACACCTAATGTCGCTGGCAAGTCACAAGCAAAATTTGGAGATTGTTTAATTTATTAGTAACAAAGAATCCCTAACAATAATTAAATTGTTCACCACCCGAACACTCGCACGAGCGGTATTTTCAGGCCCGAGAGACAAGAAAGAACTCTGAGAAGCGTAAGTATGCTGACGCTCAGAAAATTAAATTAAAACCAGAGCTAGCCACTCATTAAATACAAAGAGAAAGAGAGACAATATTATAAATAGAAATTATTTTGATTCACTTCAATGGTAGGCCCAATGCGAGGCCATAAAGAATAGTAAATAGTTTAAAGTAAATTAATAATATTGTAAAAATTATACGTATTTAAAAAAGGAATGGTTGATTCACTTCGATATGGAAATGTTCCCGTGTCATGCCTATATTAGAAAATGAGATAGCAGAAACAACAGTTAGTCTCTTTGAAATTACGTGGGAACCATTTTTGAAAGCGTTAGTACAGCTTTGTGCGCAATACAATAGATTTTCCAATAAATTTTCCATTAGTTTTAAATAACATTCTTGAGTCCGGATACCGTTTTATAGATCTTTTGTCTGTTTACCACCCTTTCTTAGTAACTGAAATTAAAATGAAACTAATAACACGTTTCCCGATCTTCAGTTATTGATCACTAGTGTTTAAAGCGCGAGTAAATGTGCAAGGGAGTGTATAAGCCTCAAGTTCCAGGTTTCCATTGAAATATCGTCACGCGATATAACAATACAAGCAATTAAGCAGGTACGGTATATATTCTTTCTTCAATGGTTTGTTCCACTTTTCCTGCTTGGAGGTACCTAGCACGCTGAAATATTCCCACGAAGCTGATAAACTAGATACGTAAGTGCGTTTTTTTAAATAATTTAGTTTAGAAGTAAGTTCTATTAAAATATGAATGGCAACGTCACGAAATTTGAAAATGGATTAAAATGTCAGCTGTTTTCTTTAGTAGAAGTTACCGAATACAAAGTAAGCTACTGGTGAACCTACTTACAATATTATTTTTATTTATCTGCCTACTCGAATATAAAACTGCGACAGCTTGACATTGACCTAATAAACGAATTTATACTATGAAGTGGATGTGGAGTTGCCACTTTCTGGAAGGCCCAGGGATTTTGAATTGGAAGCGGGGGTCACAAAAAGTAACTCGTGATGTATTTTTATTTTTAAATTATACTGTCAATTTTTTTATATGAAATAACACAGATTTTTATATTATTTTTTACATAATAGTAACAATAAATTATTGTTACTTAACAACGATGTATTTACCTCTCTTCTTGTCTGACAAGACATTATAATCGTTATAGCCGATAAATTAGTTATTTCATTAACTTATTATTTTTAAATCTCTTTGGTAAACTACTCTTTTATATGTAATAACATTTTTTAATAACTCATTTTGCGTTGGCTGGCTAACATTCGCTAAAATGTATACAATTGTTTAATTACTCCTATAGCCCTGACATTTTTCATATTAATCCGGAGCCCGGAAATTACTTTCGAAACCCAGAGATTCCTGGTCAAGCCCAGAGAGATGGCTACCCTAAGTGGATAATGAGCACTTTCAATGACTTGGCCACCGTTATCAGATCGACCTCCGCGTGCCCACTTTTGACTTCTAGTAGAGTTTGTAGGAAAATATCTTATCTTAGGAGAATGTACCAAGAATTATGATAGTCCATTTATTTTTCTCTTAAGGCCAATAGTATGAATGTTACAGCCAAGGTTTCGAGGCCATATTCGTCTCATTTTCAACACTCAACATACGTTTGAAGGAGAATAATAATTGAAACGCAGACACTCACAGGTGGTCCGAAACTTATATTATTCTATAATGGAACTGTTTTCATATTTCGTATTCTTTCAATTTGAGATGTAAAAAGTTTCTTCATCAATCAAATAAACGCAATGATCTAGTCTTCAGAGAATCACACTTTGCTCTTTTGCCAGAAAACATTTCAAAACTCGAAGAAACAAGGAGAACCTTTAGTAGAAACGACAAATACCGTTGAAGAATCATTGAACAGATTACGTAAATTGCCAGGGAAAAACGGAAAGAAGGTGGGCGAGAAAAGCAATCGTGCCATATGTGCACATGAGGTCTTCGGAAACATTAAAAAAATCTCTAATATTCTTAAGGGAGAAAATTGTAAAATAATTGCTAAGAACCCTGATTTAATTACTTATTTTAAATACGCACCTCTAACTTTGGTTAATGTCGATCGTTCATTTTCAATAATAAAAAGTAGATGAAATTTGTTTCGATGAGATGCCAAAATTTAACGAGTGTCACAAATGTAACTGTCAAATCATTCCATAGTGATGTGTAACCAATAGGAATATATGAATGGGTGAAAACCAGAACAGAATAAGTGATATTTTATAAATTGTGAAAAAGTGTTTATTTTAGACTATATTGCAGTGGTAACGTATTTTCGTGGTTTTCATGAACAATTGATATACTATGGTTTTTATGATGAAACAAAGCACCACGACTTTGCGGTGCTATTGACTTACACAAATTTATCAGAATTTATAAAAATGTCACTTACACCGTTCTGGTATTCATCCATACATACATAAAAGTAATACAGTAAAGTATACAACACCAATATTAATACCTCATTTTTGGATAATTATCACTCGTTGAAGTGCAAAAAGTAAAGAAATATTACAGAAAATAAAGGTATGTATTTAATAATTTTATTTTATTATGTTTTTATTGTCTATTTTAAGAGAAATAAAATAATTTTTGTCTGCAGTTTTTAATCAAATAAATGTATAAACGTTTGGTATCACTGGTCAGACCTACAGCAATCTGTTGCGTATTTGTTTATGGCATTTTTCGTTTAAAATAGATCTCGAGGAGGGCAACCGCTCTATTCGCCTCTCTCTACAGAACTTCCACTGCCGCCATTTTGGGAACATCTACGTGGTCTCTAATGACGGTGACGAAGAAAGAAAGCGATGACCCTGTGGACACGAAAGGCAGCAGCGAGGGGAACTTCGAACCACTACATTGCCCTGAGATGCATGTGAACATTCGGCTCTTACGCACCTTCGGTCTGTGGTCGTTGGCTGCTGACACAAAGGTAATTCCGCAATGTTTGCAATACCGTTACGGCGATATTTAAGCATATGTCGGGGATGGGGAGTGAGTCATGGGGTCGATCGTGGAGCTATAAATACATTTATATTCTTATCCATATATTTCTATTTCCATGGGGCCGATGTTCTCGCCAATTGTTTGCAGGTGGAGCTGGTACATATTTTTTACGTCACGATAATATAGTGCGCCAGGGAAGTCTCTCCGCAGTGGCACCTTGCTGGTGAGTGTGCTTGAATCAGAAATGATGTTGGTCGTACGAGATACTGTTTGTAACAAAAGAAAATGTAAATTGCGTCCTCACCACAATCATAGTAGTCGCTGGAAGTGTAGTCCCCTTCACATGGTCCCAAATGATATTGTCGATACCAACATAAATGCAGTTTTTAATAGGAGCCACTGATTTGGCACGCTGCGGAGAGACTTTGCTAGCGCACTGTATTAAAGTAGCGTATTAACCGGCGTTGCCCATGCATGTGTTTACGCCCCGTCCGCGCCGCCAGTACCAGCGCTCTTGTCCACCCCTTCGTCGCCCTCCCCCGCCCATTTGTTGCTGTCTGGAGGAGACTTCTAGCGGCCGGCTGCTCTTGTCGGCATCCGCGGTTTCTCCGATCAACACCGGGCGAATGCCGGAGCAGTACCCATCGCACGCTATATCACCCTTCTCTTCATTGCCCGAACATCTTCCTTTACACACCTACACTTTCGATTACTATTAGACGAGTTTGACCGCAGAGCATGTTACGAGAGACACAGTTATCAAAAATTTTAAGACATACAAACACAGAATCACATATTATAAATTTATATTTTTCATTAACCAAAACTCTGTTGTGTGACGTTTTGAGGGCATGAATTTTTCCTCATCTTCAGGCTTCAATGAATATAAAATAAAACTTTTTTTTAGAAACATAAATAACAGGTTACTGACTTTAAAAATAAGTGATTCAATAACAATGAAACACTAGCACTCGATGTAAAATAACATGTTAAGACAGATCATTTTGAACTGTGACCACCCATATTGAAATGTAGGACGCAGCGAGGTTTTAAATCATTTGCGTCACATTTCAGTATCTCTGCATTTATTTTCGAAATCATCTAATATTACACCGAAGAGATTGACAAGAGGCCAGCCGAAAATATTAAAATCATTAAATTAATAGTTTTAAAATGGCCGGCGTACAGACACACACACACACATCACACACACCACCACACACAAATACCACACACATCACACACACTGCACATACCGCACACACACCACACACACGACCTCGCACGCTGACGCTCCAATACTTCCGTTCCTCACTGTGCACGCTGCACCCAACACTCTCTAACGCACACGAAGAATCGTTATCGTTTACCGATGCAAATAAGTTTTCTATAACGAAAATGTCTATTTTTTCAAATATTGCTAATCTCGCGCTTTTAAAAATTTATTTTTATTTATTTATTTTAAACTTCTCATCTTTCAACTATTTATAGTACTTCCCGAAAAACGAGGGCTCGATCTCAGGGAAGCCGCGTGTCATCTTCGGCGAATGTGTAACAAAGTTTTTTTGAAAAAGGGTAATTAAAATATGATAATTCTTCAAAATTACTCGTAATAGAGTAGTTTTAGGCCCGGATATATTAAAAAAATGCATGCACCGCCCTTTTAGGTCCTTTTAGGCACAATTAGATGCTTTCCGTAGATCAATATTTTCATGTTTCGTAAACATCTGCAATTATTTTCCATATCCTCCCAAAGGAACTAAACAGACAATTGTCCTTAAATCCGAGGTGTAATTATGAGACGTGTCACTTGCCGAAGGGCCGGCGCGCTGCCTACCGCCTCTACTCGTTCGCTGCGTACGGCGCCCACGCCATCTTCGTGCTGAGCGTGTGCGTGCAGCTGTGGATCTACCGCTCCGACCTCGAGCAGCTCACCGACAATCTCAGCGTCACCCTGGCCCACACAGCCAACATCTGCAAGATTATTCCGCTCTTCTTCATGCGGCAGGTGAGGCCGAGCAGAATTTATTTTTCTTGTTACAGTTGCAGAATTATTATTCTGTTATTCTTTGCTCATATTCTCGTACGTTCCTACTTGTCTGTGCCTAACAGAACATGTTTTTGAACACTCATGCCATTGTCTTTTTTTTCGATTTTATATTTTTTAGTTGACTTGCTTAAACCTGCGTAACTTGCAGATTTGAGTGACATTTTTACTGATTTAAGTTCAATTACTGTAATTATAACTACTATTGCATGTTACATTTTTAAATTTATAATTTACAACTCAGTATTATTATTGTTATTTTTATTACTATATTATTACTATTATTAATATTATAATTACTATTATCACCTACAGTTTCCACTTGTAACACCAGGTATAAAGTAAAACGCGGCCATTTTGGCACGGACTATACCGTAATATTTAAGATAAGTCTGTCTATAATTGCAATTTTGCTTTCTGCATTTTTATGCATTTCTATCAAATCCCCACTAGAAAACTTAGCTCAGGGCATCGATTGATGTCAATGCAATGCCCCTGACAGGGAAGTTCCTAGGTTCGAATGGCAGGATTTTTGACACTAGCAAGATAGCTATTTGAATTCAGTTGCTGTCTGGAGGAGAATTCTAGCGGACGGTTGCTCTAATCAGTAGTTTTCCGTGGTTTTCCGATCAACACCAGGCGAATGCTGGAGCAGTACCGTAACAAACTGGCCGCGGACTGCGCGCGATCTGTCCGTCCTCTTCCGTGTCCTATCCTCCCCTTACTCAAACACACGTGCCGGATGACCGCTTAGAGCTTGTCCTGGTTGGAGCGGTGCCCCATTAGTGGGAGATACCTGGTTGAAGAAAACACCGCTAGCTGACGGGAAGGTCGGCAACGAATCTCACTATTCAAGGGGAGATCAGCCCCCAAGGAAATAACATGCGCTATACTTACGGCACTAATATCTTTATCCGTTGACGCGCCTGGAATTACTAATCACTCTATCCATCCGATCGCAGCTGATTGATTTGGTCAAGCAAAAACTTCCGTAGCAAGACGTTCCGAGATTCACAGTGGCATAACTCTGGCTGCAGGCAGTTTCCACGTAGTGTGACGTCATGGATACTCACAGCGACCACAGACACAGAGCTTTCATATAACAAATATATTTATTAAGAAAGAAAACAAAACAAATATATACACTTAATAATACTTACACCCTAGCTCTGATAGACCTACTATCCCCTGATCGCGGGAGCGATCCAAACCCGATTGAAGATGGTTTTGATTGTGGCATTCGCCACTCCTACTTTTGAAGCGCGCACAAAGCCTAGCTTCCGTGACCGGATGTCACGCTGGGACACAAAGTCCGTTCTGGCGCACCAACGGCTGGTTTGCCTCGATCGCAGGAGCGATCTTATCCGATTGAGAATCGGCGTGAATCGTGGCACTCAACCACTCTTCACCTCGGAGCACGCACACAGCATCGCTCCCCCGTGACCGCAGTCACCCAAGGACATAAAGTCCGCAGGCTTCGTCAACTAGTGACTCCAGCCTCGCGAGCCTGGCTCGCATATGCACCGTCGTGGCGCTAAGTTTTGTGCACACGCGCGAGGTTCTCCCACTGTCTCCAGAACCCCCCCACTGGCTCTGTACTCTCTGTTATATAGGCGAGGCCCACGTGACCTACTACGTCACGCCACCTCCTCGCTTGTTATAACAGTGAATGGGCCGGATGACTCCCAAAGCCTTGTGTCTCCCGTTTCCGCGTTCTTCCCTTTACGGAAAAACCCTACTTCCTGTGGCTAGGCTAATCCTCTACCAAGCGTCCCCAAATAGATGCCATGAGGCACGCTGGCTAATACGTTACAGTAGCCTTTATTTCCTTTGCTAGACGATGATATTTTTCTGGCTTCACATCAATAGTTTTTCAAGGTGTGAGCAAGGGCTAAAGGCATGTTCGTCAAAAAAGCTTTTTTCCTTTTTCTTGTTTAGAAGCTGAGTCTCCGGTCGCTTGTGTAGAATTGTGCGGTGTTTGGTAATTTCCCTGCCTCAGTACAGTTTTCGCAACGTGTTTTTTTAGTTTATCTTCAAATTATTACTGGTAATATGGGACCCTCCCTGGTATTATGACAAGGCCACACATTATTGCTAGGCCTAGGTAGAAATCGCATACTTCATCATGACTGAGGTGTTACTTCTCCCAATCTGTCTTTTTCGCTCCCAGACCACGTGCTCTTTCTATGTAGTGCAGGTGTCGACAATGAGCCGCCCCTCTCCGAAGGCAAGTAGTTCGTGCGGCCACAGATAGACACGCCTGGCCTACAATGTTCCTGTATTAATAGACAAAAATTCCGTCAATATAGACCGGGAGATGTGGATCAGTGCATCAACTGATGTCAATTCAGTGTCTCTGGCTGGGAGGTCCTAGGTAGGACTCTAACTAGGTAGCTGGATTGAGTTCATTCGCCGTCTGAAGGAGAATTCTAGCCAGCTGCTCTGATCAGTAGTTTTCCGTGATTTATCTGATCAACACCATACGAATGCCGGATCAGTTCCCTAACAAACCGGCAACGGACCGCGCTCTAACTTTCCACCCCCTTCCTTGTTCTATCCTCGCCCCTTACACACACACACACACACACACACACACACACACACACACTTAAATGCACTACACTACCTCACATTCCGGGAGAACGGTCGGGAGCTTAGAGCTTGTCTGGCTGGTGCGGTGCCCCGCTGGTTTGAGATACGTGGTTGGGGAAAACCTTCCAGCTGTGGAAGATCACCGCCACCCCCAAACAAAAACATACACTACGCTTACGGGTACATTGACCCCGGTAGTTGACGTACCCGGAATCACTAACAACCAACCCACCAAGCGCAATGTAGAGAAAAGCGTTTGCACGAAAAGGCGTGCCAAAGAGAAAGTTGCGCAGCTGGTGGAGGCGCCGCTGCGCACGCTGCGCGGCCTGTGGGCGTCGGCGGAGGCGCGCGGGGCCGCAGAGCGCGCGGTGCAGGCGGCCACTCTGCGGCGCGTGCGGCGCCTCTCCGCCGCCTACGTCGGCCTCTTCCTCTTCACCTACTCCGTGTGGGAGGGCACGGCGCTGGTGCGCTCCGCCGCCGCCGCCCGCCGCGCGCGCGCCGCCAACCACTCTCTGCGCGTCGACCGGCAGCTGCCCGTGCGCGGTGAGCCGTCGCACCTCCCCTTATCTCAGCTCTTGTTCACGTTTCACCTGCTTGGGGAAAACCCAACGAGCTAGAATATACTACATAGAGTAGCTGTCCCTATAGCTTCAGCGCTCTTGGTGGAGGCTCGCCGAACTAGTGGCCGACATGTTTTTTGAAGTCAAAACATACGAGTGGCAGTGTAACATGGGTGTAACCGTCCGTAACCAGCGCCGAACGTAATGCTAGAATACTTTGTTTCCCAGATTGCTCTGCTTTGACTGCAAAAAGCCATGGCTTCAATTTGCTTCAAAGATGGAGGCGCTTCAGTCACTATATGTAGCGCTTCAGTCAGTCATTCTAGCTCGTTGGCAAAACCCCGCTAGCCGACGGTAGGTCGGTGCCGGATCTCGCCATTCAGCGACGGAAGACCAAGGCCCTCTGTATCTACATATAGAGAGCCTTGGGAAGACCTCCCCACCTCCCAAGGAAAAAACACGCACTCCACTTATGAGATTAATGACCTTTGCAGTTTACGCCTGGTATCACCATCGATCAAGCCACTATATTTCGGTTTTAATAACATGGCGCGCGAAGGCTTTCTTCACAATTGAATATCATCTCGTGAATATCATCTCGTGCGGCTAGATGTCGTATGAATGCGACCGTGTCAATCAGTGCGGAGTGTATAGCGGCACGACCAAGAAAGACGCGAAATTATTTGAGATAATCCGTCGTGAAGACGGGCTCTGACACCCCACGTTATAAAAACCCAAGTATAAATCTCTTATACTTGGGTTGTTACACTTATTATTACCATAAACAGCTGAAAATTAGACTTTTACTGAATTTGCAAAGCTTTAAATACCTCTCTTTAAAAAATTCGTTCTCAGTACCAGAGTCACTGGACATTTGGACGAAATCTACAGACATTGTTAAGTTTGTACTTGAATTGACACACAATCCACACATATTATTAACTAGTCGACTCAGTCGTCTATTGTGTGATTATTTGTACTTTCTTTTACATAAATTCCTGATGATAATCCATGTTCTAACATACCATTATTTCATTCTGAAAAGAAACTTGTTTCATTCTGTTCCTTTCTTGATTTTGTCTCGTTACTTAACAATTTTTCCTCCCCAGGAGGAAACGAACATTCCAAGTTTAACAAGATCGATTTCATCCTTCGTAGCGTGGTACCCGTTCGACATCTCTCCGTCGTTCAACTACCAGATCGCGTTCTGGACGCAGTCGGTGGGCTTCTTCTACACGGTGACGTCGGTGTGCACTACCAACCTGCTGTACTTCGTGCTGGTGATCCACGCGACGACGCAATTCCGCGTGCTGCGCGCGTCCCTGCTGCACGTGCGGGAGCGGGCGCTGGGGCGAATGGGCGCGGGCGACGCCCACCTCGACGTCGACGCCTTGAGCGACGCTGCCGCCCGCCGCCTCGACGCCGCCATGCGCGCGATGCTGGGCGACTGCGTGCGGCACCACCAGGCCACGCTCAGGTGCTGTCCTCCCAGCCACAAGTCAGGGGTTGGGGAGGCACGAAGGTGATTTTCGAGCCTAATAATATTTTGGGATAGATCGATGGTTTCACCGGGAGAGGTGGCTCAACTGATGACTGTAGTGCCTTAGACCGGGAGGTCCTGGGGTCCCGACGGTGGCAGTGTTTTCGACAATAGCTATGTCGCTATCTGGAGAAGAATTCTAGCGGCCTGATCTTCTGATCTTAGTAGCCTGATCTTCTGAGCCTTCTGATCTTAGTTTGCCGTGGTTTCTCTTATCAATATCAGGTGAATACTCGAGCAGTATCCTACCAAACGGGCGACGGACCGCGCGCGATCTTCTCTTCCCATTCCTTGTCGTATCCTACCCTTACATACACACACTTACACGCATTACACTACCACACATGCCGGGGGGCATATCGGGAGCTTAGAGCTTGTTCCGACTGGGGCAGTGCACCATGGTGTGAGATACCTGGTTGGGAAAACCTCGCTAGCCGATGGTAAGTCGGCCCCGGATCAAGCCATCCAGCTCCCGTGCCACACCACCTCCCGTGGAAAAACATACACTACACTTATGAGACTAATGACCCTAGTAATTGACGTGCCCGGAATCACTAGTAATCAATCCATGGTTCCAAAAACACAATATCACGCTATACCAACTCCTCTTGTTACGTCACCATTACAAATAATGCTAGAGTGCTGATAATTTACTACTGATTTTTCATTTGAATAAACTTCAATTTTTACTGGTCCGTTTAGTATCAAGTTATTGTTTAGAATTTTATTTCAACAAAATGTCAATTCATCAAAATATGTGACATTGTTTTGACATTGTTGATCAGTGTTTATTATATTGCAGGCAGTAGGTTTAACATTGTTCTGGATTCAAAAACTTAGTTTTTTATGTTGCGTCTATGTAGAGTTTTGAATACACCGAAGGGATAGGAAATTAATGAATATTATCTTCTATATTTTTTCCCTAGATATGCGGATCAGCTTCGCACACTGATAGATCCAATAATGTTTGCTGAATGCCTGACCATGTCTATCCAGCTATGTGTGCTAATTTTTCAGGCAACCACGGTATGTAATACACAATTATAAAATGAATAATGTATGTCTAGAATTTTAATTCTTCCAAATGTGTTTAATTATGAGTAGATACTTTCAAAACTGAGACTCTCTTTAAACTATGTTTTTGCACCAACCTGGATTGTGAAATCTTTTCAGCAACCTCTTACAAGTCCTCTCTTCTTGTCAGAATGTGCATTTCTTATGTGTGAAATGACACAATTGTTTCTGCATTGCTACTTTGGAACTGAATTGATTCATGAGGTATTATACTGCATTATAGTGGTAACAAATTCTGTGTATATACTATATAGTGTAGCATAACATTTATACACTACTAATACTAATATTTCACAGAGTTTGCTGGTTCAGGATGCTGCCTATGAGAGCAATTGGTACAGTGCCTACAGCTCGGGCTATAGAAAATCTATTGTTATAATGATGTCTAGGGCCATGCGGGAAAGCCATATTAAAGCATTTTCTTTTTCAACTGTTTCCCTCGAGCTATTCACTGGGGTAAGTATTCTTTATGAGGTCTTATATTCTTTCTTATTTACTAAAGAGATACAAAATCATCCTGTGCCATTGGCGTGCGCAGCCTAGAACAAAGGAGGGGGGCAACCACATTCTTGAGCCCCTTTAGGCCCCATTTTCCGTCATACGTATGTATAAAAATATGTATAAATGCAACAATTAAATGGCTCGCGTCCGCGGCAGGGTAGCACGCGCTTTCGGGGCAAGCGAGCACTGAGAAATCTTGATGGAAAAAAGACAGACACAATGCATGCCAGAAACTCAATGTGACATCAACGGAACAAAATTTCCTTAACATAATACAATCGACTCCAGTTATAGTGCACTTCTGGGAACTAACATTTTTGGTTCACTACATTCGATGATGTCAAAATGAAATAGAATTTCTCCATTTTCTGATTGGTTTTATTAATATAGACATACAACAAAATACATTAACAACACGAACTGAAAATGTCAACACAATGCCTCTCACTATTCCCTCGACGAAGGCCTTTTACTCGCATTATATATGAGATCTTTTCAGTCGCGGGATGGCGCAAGCGGATAATTAACTGATGGCTTTTCCGCGCGGCGCGGGGTAATCGCCAGGCTTCCACGCTTCCTGTCATCTGCGTAGAGCTCGACGCTTTTTGTCCCGCAGAATATCGAGAAACATCAAGCTTGAAACTGAATCAAGGAATCGCACGTCGTCGCCGCCGGTTGTAGCCCACGCAGGACACAGCCTTTGTTTCCGCAGTGAAACTGAGTGGCGTAAAGTCATCACTAAGGTTCCCATTTCGAGTCCGCTACCTTCACCTCAGGGAAGGCTTCATCGATAAGTCCTTTGGCGCGATATTTTTTTTTACCTGCGTAGTGGTAGATTTTGAAGCAATGAAGCGATATATTTTTTTCCAGGAAGGAATTAATTTCCAAAAAATTGTATATCCTACGTTCACTATAGCCGAGATTCATGTTCACTATAACAGAATCTTCTTATGCTTATCTGTAATGTAAGTGAAACGGGACCAGTGACTTAAGTTCACTCGTATAACCAATGGTTCAGTATATCTGAGTTCACTATAACCGAATTTGAGTGTAGTACCAGTATGGAAAATTGGAAAATAATTGCAAATTTTGCTACTAGAAAGAAGTGAAAAGAGGCAGAGGAAAGACTATCGGAACAGAATTAAATTCTGATGTCATGTATCTCAGCAGTTCCAGAATGGTTCGGAATGAACAACAGGGTTTTTTAGTTGGTGAAAATCTAATTCCCCCAAAGAACGGTGTCTTTAAAATATTTGTCCCCTTAAAAAAAGCCCTGAGAAAGCAGCCACCATAACGGGAAGCCTCGGGACGAGTCCGATCGGAAGAGGTGCCTCAAGGCATCAAAAGATGTCACTGCAGGGCCTCTGACCGGGAGGTCCTAAGTTCGAGTCCCGACGATAGCAGGATTTTGGACACTAGTCAGATATGTAGTTCGAGTTCTCTCGCTGCCTGGAGGAGAATTCTTGCAGCCGGCTGCTTTGATCGGTAGTTTTCCGTGATTTCTATGGTCAATACCAGGCGAATGCCGGAGAAGTACCCTAAAGAACGGGCCAAGGACCGCGCGCGATCGTTCCTTCCCATTCCTTGTACTACCCTAACCGTTACACACACTTACATGCACTACACTATCACACATGCCGTGAGTCTGGTCGGGAACTAAGAGCTTGGCCCCGGGTGAGGATGTGCCTCACTTGTGGGAGATACCTGATCAGGGAAAACCCCGTTAACCGACGCGTCGCGACAGTAGGTCGGCGCCGGATCTCACCATGCAGCGGGGCACATCCACCTTCCGAGGAAAGAAAACACACACTTCACTTACGGGACTAATAACCTTACCCGTTGTCGCGCCCGGAATTACTAGAAATCAGTTAAGCTAGAGGCAGTAACTGTGAGAGTTATTGGGGAGTGGAAACCGACGCGCAATGATAGTGAGTCGCAGATAATATTAGTGTGAATTGGATAGGGCCCTGTATAATTTTTGGAAGGAACTGTGACTAGCGCATGGTATTAGGGCGTCTCTCGGAAATTGGGAAATAGGTTTTAGGTTTCGTCATTCTCTCTGGGTATACGGAACTAAGTGTTTGATATTGACTTGGATGCATAATGAGGTAAATCAGGTAATACAGACATCAGGTACAGAATCAAGTAATACAGAAATTGGTAAATCTTTGTCATAATAAACTTTGGTTATTGTTTTGTGTCTACTTATTTGCGACATTATTCAATTTACATAGACAATTTTTTATTAGAAAGTAAATAAAATAAGATAATGAAATTATAACTTTAATAATATAATTAATAAATACATTGATTTCACATTTAATTACCACACATTAATTAATTACTTTCCTAGTTGTTGATAAGTATTACAAATATCTTTAATTTTTTTCAATTACTAGTCTATTATGTAAGTTGTATTATTATTATTATTATTATTATTATTATTATTATTATTATTAATTATGTGCAGTGGCATTGTGAAATTCAGGGAAATGAGTGTGTAAGAAAGATATTACAGATTAGAGATGCGCAGGGCGGTGAAGTGTGATGAGACAGAGCTATGAAAGATTGCACAGTGAAATGTTCACGTTTATTTGTAAAGTTTGTAAATTTGTTCAGTTCTGTAATGTTAAGTGAGTGTATTCTGCCACCAGAATTAGCGATAAATCTAACTATTCATGGAATTGCCAGATAGTTGGGAGGGCCTCTTCTGGAAGGAACTGATCCTATATTCGGATATAAAATTTTATATTACGTGGGATTACTGCATCCCTTTTGAACTTTTGTGCCCCCTCCCGTTCTGTGCGCGCGCCTATTCCCTGCGCCCTTTAATATTATATAATGACATTTATTTAATTTGTACAGTTATGTGGGCAATAACCTAACTCTTAAATCTAAACTTACATGGTGGGTCACTTTAATCTGTCGGAGCAAATATCTCGAAAACTACACATCTGATAAAAAAAGAGTAATAAACGTTGCTTCTTTCAGCAGGGGACACCCAATCATACCAAACTCCATCCCCTACCCACACCCTCTGGGTATCAGTATCAAACAGGAACCCCCATTTTATTGCATATTTTAATTCCCAAGATTACCCCAATTTGACCCACGCACCCCATCCCTTATAGCCGCGGTCGGTGATGGAATTAATTGATAATTAGAGACGATGAATTGTATTTGAATTTGTAAAAAAATTACACATCAAAAATACACACATGGAAAACCAAGATTTAAATTAAAAAAGTGTTTTCCTTTTGAAGATTTTGAAATAATTTCCACTCCCATTAGTGGGAATGGGGTGCGTTGGTGAATAATGGTGCCCCAAAATATCAATTTTGAAAATATTGTTTACATTTACTTTAATTTTCTTATATCATGTGTTTTTCTCGAATTATCCCCATTTTTTGATGATTTTTTGATCAATTTAATTTTTGTCTATTACAGCGCCATCTGTCAGTCAAAATGATTTTTAATATTTGCTCAGATATATTAAAATGACCCATCTGTATATTAACCTTACAATCTACGATTTACATTCTACGCTACATTCCTTACACACTTTTGTACTTTATAAACTAAACTTACATACTAACACATACATACCTGCAAACTAAACTTACAATAAACGCTGCTTATTTACATTATTTACATGCACTTGCCCTTACTACAATCTAAACTCACAGACTGGCACTGAGGTTTTTATAGTTTGCCTGTCAAACTTGCGCTGGCAGTCACAGTTTCAGTAACACTTTTTCCTCGCATACACGCACACACACACACATACACACTCACACGATGACTGCCCGTCGGGGGCATGCGCACTTTTTCCATCGGGTTCACCATTGTTCGTAATTGGACGGGGCTATATGACTTTCGTGCCCCTACTTTGTGTAATGGAGTACATCGCTCCATTGTGGAGTACATGCTCCTGCACAGAACACTCGAACGCAAGACCGACAGTGCTCACTTAAGATGTTCTTCAACAATCTTATAAATGTAATAACATCTGTATTCTTATCTCATAAGTACCTATTGTAATAAATCATTTAGTATTAAAGAATACTCCTTAATACATTCTCCATTTCAGCTTCTGAAGGCTTCGTATTCTTATTATACTTTATTGCGCCAAGTTCATGAAGAAGAAGAACTAATGGTTGATTGAAACTTCTGAGTGTGTTTTCATAATTAAACCTTAAACGTTCATTGAAAGAAAGTAATTATGAATTCATTGCAATAAATCGTCTAATTAACTGGTAGAATAATTAGTAATCACAGTCGCTGAATATTAATCATACATGATTTATTTTGTTGTAGAAAAAGGTGTCCTTAATAGAAACTTTCACATTACATAGTTAATAAGTAGATTATTTTATAAATAATAATTTACTTAGTTATTCGCTAATTTTATAACTATTACATGTAACTGTACATTTAAGCAATTTATTAATATATTGTACTAAGAATGTATATTTATTATGAAGAAATGCAAAATTACTGACATGCCTGACTTCTACATTCATTAGCTTTGGTCATCCTCATTTTCCAGTAGTTACTTCTTCCAAACCAATACAAAACATTCTATAATGATCAGTGATAAAAGTCTGTACAAGTAATTAAGTAAAGTTATTGTGGGCAGCTGAAACTGGTTGCGCAGAATCTCGAATGGTGGCTACCAGCCGCTCAAGACCTCGCCAAGTGCAGGCTTGGAATTACAAAGGGTAAAGCAAGAGTGGTTTTGTGTTAAAAAATTGAAGCCATTTTGAAGGAAAAGAAGATTTAACACGCCGTGCGCGAAACGTTGTTTCTGTTTTCCGTGCGATACAGCTAATTCTTGCACAGCATGCAAAACATCTGTAAAGATTCTCAATTGCCTTTCGTCCATTTATTATTTAGAACCAAAAGTGTTTCGACCTAGGAGTCAAGTAGCGCCCTCTGGGTATCAAAGTATTCTATACTGCGATTTGTTGATATCGGTTCTCATTCGGTAAAATTGTGCATTTTTTTTAAGAGAAAAAGAAAGAACCAGAAGCAGAAAAAAGTGTTCACACCAGCCGAACTGAAATGTCCGACTGATTGACTGAAATATCGAAATTCTTCAACGAGACTTCAAATGAATAATATATTCTTCAACGAGGGTAGAATGATACGAGTGAATTTAAGTAGTCATTCTACGCGAGTAGAAGACTATACTTTCTCTACGATTTTGAAATTGATGTTTTAAAAATACTGAATGAAAGCAGTGGAAATTTTTTTATTTTTTGAAATAAGTTTCATTTATTGTACTTTTTATTTCATTAATTATAGTAGTTTATGCAATTAGTTTATATTACGATCTAGAACATACTAATCTTTATTGCATGAGTACATGTTTTAAAAACGAGCGACGTTAGGAGCTCATTATAAATGAGTTGCATAGACTATTTTTTTTGTACAATAGAATTATAAGTTTACATAAGAATCTAAATTAATTTTAGAAACTAATTTCAACAGCAGTTTTGCAGTTTGCAACGTAGACATTCGTATTTGACGTCACGCGTTTTAGACAACTGATTCTCAATGATTCTCAAACCTATGCGAAAGAAATATGATTCTTTGTCGCAGGAAATTGTTGAAGAAGCTACGAAGCCATAATAATGCCGGCACAATTGACTGCATTATACGAAATAGAATACAAAAAATTTAAAATTTGATGAAAACAAAAACTTGAAGAGGAGTTCGCTCCCAGACACCGTAGAGGGAACACCTCCGTTTGTGCCTCCTCTTGTCGTGTTCACGAGTGCAATGTTATCAGTTGTGTATTAGTGTTATTGTCACACCAAATAGGAATTAGTACTAATCTAATCTAACATCTATTTAAAGTCAGCCTAACGCGGCTAACAATTAATCATAATGTTCTCCAATGTAAACAACAACTTAACCAAACTTCCGACGGATCCAGCTCCCGAAAATCAAGCAAAGAAGACTTACGCCAACGCTACAGTGAGTGATGTATTTCCTACCAAAGACCAAGGAGTTATCATAGAAGCCCACGAAGGTATTTCAATTAAAGAATATATTACTAAACTCGCTACAATAATGAACCCCAATGACATTAGATTCGTGTCGCGCTTATCTAATAACAGAATTTGTGTATTTCTAAACACTAAGAAAACAGCAGAGTACCTGACTAGCAACTATTCTACATTAACCATCAAGGATCATATACTGAATGTCAGACTTTTAATTAATAAGCTTAAGAGGGTAATAATTTCTAATGTTTGCCCTGTGATGCCACATGATGTTATCAAACAAGAATTTTCAAAACATAATATCCATATAATATCCAATATTTCATTTATTAGAGCTGGTATTCCTGAACCTTACACATATTATGAGTTTCAGGAGACAGGTGTTTATAACACCTGAAGATGTTAGCAATCTTTCAGAATCAACCACTATATTGTATGATGGTACCCAATATAGAATTTTCTTTTCTACAGATGATGTGACATGCTTCCTATGTAAACAGTCTGGTAGCTAACCAGTGTAATAACAAATCTATCCAACATTCTGCAACAGAATATGACTTAGCAAATGAAAAATATCAGAATGAATTTACTAATAATTCCATTGAATTTACTGAACCACAAAGCCGAGAGGAAACTCTTGCAGTAAATGAAAGTAATTTCCCCTGTATTCCTAAGTGAACCCTCTCATCAGAATCTTCATCCCAGATCGGTCCTGAAAGTAATAAGATAGATAAGACCAATTTGGATAGTAGTAAGCAAACCAAAAAGAAAAAGAAAATTGGTCAAGAATCAAATCATATTAGTACTCATGTTAAGAACACCCCCAAAGTCATTAGATGAACTTCTTGATCCATTAAAGGCAAAGTATGAAACCAATCCAATTGATTACCCCCCACATATAACCAATTGAAAAAATTTCATTACAAAGCTTCAGGAGCCCCAAACCCAAACAATAATGGCCAGTGAATTTTCACTTGATATTCCATCTATTATCCAAATAATGTCTGAATCTTATCCATTACTTACAGAAAGGCAATAAAATTAAATTTACAAGTGTTAATAAACAAGAATGGATGCTTCGGATGCAGATACATCTGAATAATAACTAGCAATTAATATCTTACAATGGAATTGAATGGATTCTATGCCCGTCTACCATCCCTGAAACTATTAGTAAAGATATTCTTCCTCAGATACTAGTTACAGGAAACAAATTTTAAAGACAATCATTCTGGGTAAACTACCGGGTATACTAAATCTTTTTGTAATAGGATGCTCAAATTGCTTCTGGTGGTGTAGCTATCCTTGTTAAAAATGATATTATGTGCAAGATATTCCTCTCCAAACTTCTCTTGAAGCCGTAGCTGTAAAGTTAAACATCATATCCATATCAATGTCTGTAATATTTATATCCCCAACAGGACTGGTGTCCATCACTGAAACATTATCTTTCAGTGCCCAAACCCTGGTTATAACTGTAGGAGACTTCAATAGTCACAACAAATTATAGGGGAACCAATATACTGACCAAAGAACCTTAAATCATTGAAGATTGGCTAGACAATCCATAATGATCTACCATATTAAATACAGGTCTGGCCACCCACTTTAACTATAGTAATGGAAATGAAAGCAAACATTGATCTTATTTTGCCTCAAAGACATTGCAGCTAGAATGACATGGTCTACCAACAATACCTATATGATAGTGTATCCCATTAAGATGACCCTTCTAGACTTAGATCTATTCTTCAATCGAGATGTGAGCCTAAATAATCCTAGAACAAGCTAAATGGGGACAAATTCCAACAGTTTATCAAGTCGAATATTGCAACTCTTAATCAACCAATCAACCTAGATTCTGAAGAGAGTTAAAACAAGTTAGTGCATGACTTATATTTCACTAATTCTAGAAGCAGCAAGAACGTCGATTCCCCGTACCTCAGGAATAATTAAAAAACGCCAAGTTCCATGGTGGAACGAACAAATGTACTTCAGCAATTAAAATAAAAAAAGAGCATATAGAAAATTTAAGAAAAACAAAACCATGGTAAATGGTATTGCTTACAGGAAAGCAAGAGCCTTTGCAAACTTACTTCAGATCCGCAATGATCAATTCATGGCAAAGTTCACCTCTTTCATCACACACCAATTTCTATATCAAGGTATGCATAAAATAAAAGCCATTAGTGAAGAAATACTCCCAGTATTCCTAAATATCTTATTGATAGTACTGGCTTAAATCATGTTGGAACTCAAACCGTATGTAGCCTTTTAGCGAACACGTTTGCTCAAAATTCAGATACCAATAATTTTGACCCCAAACTTTCTATCTACAGATCCCTCAAGCAGAAACTTAAGTCAAAATAACATTTTGCTACCTAACTAGAGGACAATAACAGAACTACAACAAACCTTCGCTTATGGAAGAACTTCATGTACTTAATCAAAGCAAAAATTCTGCACCTGGGCCCGATAAGGTCCCAAACAGTTTTTTGAAGAACCTTCCTGAAGTTCGACTTCAGTACTTACTTTATAATTATTATAAAGTAATTTATTTAATTATAATTATTTTTGGACTGAACAACACTTTCCTGACTAATGGAGACAAGCTAATGTTATCCCCATACCTAAACCTAATGAAGATCACACTCTACTCACGAATTACCGTCTAATCTCCCTAACAAATAACATCTGCAAGATATTAGAGAAGCTGGTTTATCGCCGCCTGAAATGGATACTGGAAAACCGTAACTTAAATTCACCATACCAAAGTGCTTTCAGATCCTTTAGATCAACAAATGACCTCCTAGTAAATATCGATACTATAATATGTCGTGCCCTTGCTATGAATCAACATGTAATAGTAGTTTCAAAGGATATTGAAAAAGCATATGAAATGGTCTATAAAGATACTCATATTCACCCTTGCTAAATCACATATAATAGGAAATATGTTAGCATTCGCTATCAATTTCCTAAAAAACAGATACTTCAGAGTAGAAATTCTAGACAGTTCGTCCCATCTTACAGAGATGTTGAATGGTTTACCACAAGGATCTGTCCTTAGTGTTATATTATTCCTTCTAGTTATTAATGACGCAAGCAGTACAATAGAAGAACCAATGAAAATATCCCTTTTTACAGATGATATCACCTTGATATGAAGTGGTAAAAATCTTAAGGTTACTGAAAGTATTATGCAAGAACCGGTAGATTGAATCACTAAGTGGTCAACTGATGCAGGAATTTCAATATCGAAGACTAAATCAGAGTTTATAGTGTTCACAAGAAGAAGAAATGACGATAATGAAGAAGTGCATCTTAAACTGGGTGATCACCAACTTAAAAGGACTTATGTATGCAAAATTCTGGGCGTACTATTTGATTCCATACATTCATGAAAGCAGCATATAACTGCTCTTAAAGTTGAATGTAAAAAACGGCTTAATATTATAAAAAAAGTTATCACCCATTAAATGGGGAGC